TGCTTTGGAACAACCAGATCATGAACTTTTCGAGCAGAAGCTTTATGCCGTTTCGTCACCTGATCATAGTGAATATGGTCAACATCTTGAGCGTGAAGAGCTTAAACGATTCATCAAGCCAGCTGATCAGACTACTCAGGCCGTCTTATCATGGTTGGAGAAATCTGGTATCTCCGAGTCAAACATCCACAATGATGGAGAATGGATCAACTTCCGTACTTCAATTAAGCAAGCGGAGGATATGTTGAATACCACTTTCCATTACTACGCCCATCAAGATCAAAAGAAGAATAAGCAAATTCGAACATTGGGATATTCCATTCCAAAAGAGGTTTCGAGTCACATTACAATGATTCAACCTACAACCAGGTTTGGTCAAATTAGAGCACAACGCAGCCAAGTATTCCGTGAGGACTTTGGTGCTCTTTCTTTACCAACACTCAATACTACTGCCTGCAATGTTACAATTACTCCTCAATGTCTGCGAGATCTTTACAATATCGGCAACTACACTGCTAAGGCAAATCCCGAGTCACGTCTAGGAGTCGCTGGATACCTTGGTCAATGGGCAAAGTATGATGGTCTAGAATCTTTCTTGGAGAAATATGCTCCATATGCTGTTAGCCAAAACTTCTCCTATGCACTCATCAACGGAGGTTTGGCTACACAAAACTCAACAAACAATGATGGAGAAGCGAATTTGGATATTCAATATGTTGCTGCCATGGGTTTCGATACCAATATTACTTACTACAGTACCGGTGGTCTAGGAATTCTCGTTCCAGATCTCGATCAACCATCATTAGACGACAATCAAAATGAGCCATATTTGGACTATCTTAACTACATGTTGAGTCTCCCAAACAACCAATTACCACAAACTATCACAACTTCATATGGAGAAGATGAGCAATCTGTTCCAGAAGCTTATTCTAAAACCGTGTGTAAAATGTTTGGTCAATTAGGTATGAGAGGTGTATCCATTCTCTTCTCCTCTGGAGATACCGGTGTAGGATCGGCTTGCCAAACTAATGATGGAAAGAATACTACACGATTCTTGCCCATTTTCCCAGCAGCTTGTCCTTATGTTACTTCAGTCGGAGGAACTAGATACGTGGAACCAGAAGCAGCAGTTTCTTTCTCCTCGGGCGGTTTCAGTGATAGATGGCCTCGCCCTTCGTATCAAGATGATGCTGTTAAGGGATACTTGAAGATTTTGGGTTCTAGATGGAAGGGTCTTTACAATCCTAAGGGTCGTGGTTTCCCAGATGTTGCGGCACAAGGTGTTAGATTCCATGTTATGTTAGTATTTTCTCTCCATATGAAGTGGCTTGTGAGTTTTCATACTAATACTATATCTCAGGGATGTTGATTCTATCACCGGAGTTGCACAAGATCAATTACTTTCTGGAACTAGGTATGACTTATTTTCTTATATCTTCCTCATTTCTTCTCCCCTCTCCTTCCCCTCTTCTCACATTCCACCTCAACTAACATCCCTTCCCACTAGCGCATCCTCCCCAGCTTTCGCAGGTATCATCTCCCTCCTCAACAACGCCCGTCTAAACGCCGGACGTAAACCCCTCGGATTCCTCAACCCTTGGCTCTACTCAATTGGTAAGAAAGGTCTTACCGATATTGTTCATGGAGGCAGCACCGGATGCACGGGAATCGATGTGTACTCCGGCTTACCAACTCCATTCGTACCATATGCTAGTTGGAATGCGACCAAGGGATGGGATCCAGTGACTGGATTAGGAACCCCAGATTTCGCAACTTTGTTGAAGTTGGTTAATCAAAAGGATTAAGTCATTTTGGATGAGGGAAGTGAGTAGAGAAAGTACAAAATGGATTTGTCTCGCTCGGGTAACGGGTAGCGGCGGGATTTTCGAAGATTTATCCTAGGGGGTTGTTTTTGTTGGTCGTAGATAGGATAATACAAATACAAATTCATGTACTACTTTGAAAATAACATCAGATATTGGTGTGCATACATACATTATGATTTACAAGACTCCTCTGCTAAGGAATTTGATATTGAATGTATAGATAAGTACACAAAGTTATAAAATTGCTAGCGAGAATTGAGTAAACAGATTGAGATTGAGAATTTAGAGGGTTGGAGTGTGAGTATAAGATATATAATATATAGTGAGAGGTATGAAGTTTGAAGTTTGAAGTTTGAAGTTTGAAATAAAGAATCTTATAATGATAATGATTATAAGAATTAATCTAAAAATAATTTAATAAAAGTATACTCAATAGTTAAAGCTGAAACTTGAAGCTTGAGGATAGGAAAATGGAGAAATGAAGGATGGGTTGGAGATTGGAGATTGGAATTTAGGAGAGAGGGTGTGTCTGGGTCTGGGTTTGGGTTTGGTGATGAGTTTGGTGATGAGTTTGAGGTGTGTGTATTATGTGAGATGTGAGAGGGGAAAGGAGGATGAAAGAGTAAGGGAGTAGGAGAGGAGGGGAAAGGAAAGAGGAGGGGAGAAAGGGAAAGATAGAAGAGGAAGGGAATGAATCGGAAAGGTTATTGAGATGGTAGGTAGATGGTGGATATTAGATGATGGAGTTTTGAGAGGGAGGAGGGTGGATCGGGTTGTGTGGGAAGGGAGAGAGGGAGGAGATGGAGATGCAGATGCAGATGGAATTACATCGTATATCTCAAAGTGAACTCCGAGATTTGGGTTGGGGGATGGTTAGTTCTGAGATATACACTACAACTTGAATTCGCCTTCTAGACTCTTATTGGTAAGAGGAGGATATAAAGTTCTTGGGTATGTCATGTCTTGAAAATAGAACGCTTAGATTTTCAGAATGATTGCTTTTGAGATGGGTAACTGATTTTAGCGGATAGGTGGTATGGAAAGAGAGGTGTTTTGTTGTATGTCTTCAAAAGAACTGTTGGGTTCTCAGGATGTGGGTTCTGAGATGTGTAATAAAGTTAAGGAATAGGTGAGATGGAGAAAATGGGTTTGTTGTATATCTTTAAAAACAAATTATCAAGTTCTCAGGATGTAGCCTTTGAGATATATAATAAGGTTCAAGAAACAAATAATACAAAGAATATAGTTTTATTGCATATCTTCAAAGACGAACTGTTGGGTTCTTAGGACGAATGCCTCGAGATATACAATAAAACTTCAATAAGTCTATTTTAGAGAAAGGTGGTAGAGGAAAGTTAGGGAGTGTTGCACATCTTCAAAGAAGAACTATTGGGTTCTCAGGACGTGAGGTTTGTGTTTGTATGAGAAGGATACGAAGACGCGATACCCACATATAGTAGATCCCAAATATCTTATTGTATTCTATCTAAAGAGCTAGCTATTCTACAGAAGATAGTAGACCTTAAACAAGGGCTACCAAAATAGCTAGTCTCTTTTGGGCTTAGTACGGTTGCCATTGAATTGAAGTCATTCACCTATGTTCACATAGTTTGCGATATGCAAAAAAAGCTTGATAGATCTCTTCGAAAGAATGGAGGGGGGGAAGTACAATGAAGGACGATTAGGTTTGTTGCATATCTTCAAACACGAACTATGAGGCACTCAGAACGTGAGCTATGAGATATGCAACAAAAATTTAAGAGGTCTGTTTGAAAGAATGGGGTAGAATTGTGTAATGGATATCCAGGAGAAGAGAATAGAGACTCGAGAGGAAGAGGTTCTACCACATATCTTGAAAAGAGATCACCTAGATTTTTAAAGAAATTATCCTTGCGATATCTATGTAATAGAACTTGGTAGAAATCAAAATAAAAGAGAAGAAGAAGAAGAAGAAGAAGAAGAAGAGTAAAAAGTCTAATTATACATTCTAAACAACAAACCATGAGATTCTCAGAGAGAAAGCTTTGCAATTCACAACCAGAATCCATAACTAAAAGAGATGAAAGTTTATTACACATCTCATCCCAAAAAACCCCCTTCCAAAAATACAAGCACCACCAATTTCACAGTCCCGAGTAATCCTGAACATCAAAGGAAAAGATACTCACCTACCTACCTACCTACCTATTAATACTATATTATAGAAGAAAAATCTCGACTATAAATCTCATTCAAAAATAAACCAGCCTCCCCGAGGTTCTCTTCCTCTTCCCTTTCCCTTCTTCCCCTCTTATCATACAATATAGTACCTACCTACCTACCTACCTACCTACCTACCTACCTGATAGGTACACATAGCAAAATCTCAAGCCCAAATTCCGACAGACTTACACCTTACACCTCAGATCTCAAGTCTCCAACTCCCAACTCCCAACCTCTAATCCTCATCCACCAAATTCCCAAATACAAACAATATCAATATCGATATCCAAAACAAATAAAACAAAATAAAATATATATACACACACATAAACAATCAATCTCATACCATCACCCCATACCATCACCCCATACCATTCCATCAACCTCAAGGACCTCGCTTAATTTTCTTCTCTCTTCTCCCTTCTCCCTTCTTCTTTTTCTCTTACATACCTACATACCTACATACCTACCCACCTACCTTACTATATATTAATCCTATTCCTATTCCCTTATTGATCTTCAATCTTCAATCTCCAATCTTCAATCTCCATTCTTCAATTTCCAACAATGAATATATTATAACGCAAGATAGCCAAGATAATTGATATAAACACCCAAACATGTAATACAAGATCAGACAACATACTATACCATAACAGGACAAAACAAAACAAAAGAGCCACTAACAGAAGAAAGGCAGAATGCCATCACAAGAGTGAACACCGAAGCACATACGAAAGAGAGGAATCACCTGGACTGACTGACTACTGACTGCATGATCTTTAGAGAGAGAGAGGAAATACCAATGATGGAAATAACGCATATCATATCATATCATATTCCATTCAAATATTTCGCTTCGCTCGCTATACAGCTATTTTTACCACTTCTCCCTCTCATTTCCACACATCAAACTGTGTGTTTTCTTCATTCCATGATATATCAAGTCAATAAATCCTTCCACTCAACCTACAAACATTCACCACCCAGCATTCCTAATTCCCCGCTCAAAAATTCCTCCGCATTAACCAACTCCGTACTTCCATAAACCACTCTTCTCTTCCCCATTCCTCCCCCACCCTCCTTATTAACCCTTCTCGTCCACTCCTGTAAATTTCCATATTCGTCCATACTACCCCCACCAACAGTAAAAACAATTGCTTCACTAAACCCTTGTCTACGCATACCGAAACTTGGTGTAATACCCGGTCCTTGTAGACTTCCTGGCATTTCATTTCTTCTGCTCGCGCTTGCTGGTGGTACGGTACCCCTTGCATTTGCGGATCTAGGGTCAAAGTAAAGATAATCTTCTGTTTTTGCTATTGCGGAACTAGAAGCGGATTGAGGATCCATAATTGATTCTGTGATTTTTGTGACAGTAAGATCACGGTTTGCGGGAAGAAAATTCTTTACTCCGGATATTAAATTATCGAAATTGGTGGTAATACCAGTTTCTTTAAGGGATGTGGTGAGGCGAGAAGAAATGGAAGAGAGACCACGGAAAAGATCGCCGGATGTACTTGGTGGTTGAGAAGCAGGGGTAGGAGCTGTAGTGAGCATCGTCATTCGGGTTGTGGTGCGAACTCTGAATTGTTTGTTAGTCGCATCAACTAAATCAAACAAATGAATAGATGATGACTTACTGTTTGACATATGCTAGAGATGTAGTGTCAGCACCTGCAGTCTTCAATGACTCTTCAAATTTGTCCATCTCAGCCCTCGTGATTTCTTGTTCGGTACTTAAGTACCAGATGATAAATAATCTCAATTTATCTGTTGGTTCTTTGCCTTTATCTGCATCATTTATAACCTCAAGCATTTGCGCTTTTGTTTGCTTCATGATATTTTCTTCCATTTGATAGAAGTTATCCAATTGTCGATCCTTTATGCCGGTCAAAAGTCCAGCTAATATATTCATGTGCATATCTAGCACAGCTTTTCGTTCTCTCAATTCGGGAAGTAAGGTAATGGCAGCCTTCAGATGTTGTGCTGAAGCACTCGTATCATTTTGGAGATCTTCTATGGAAGAAGCACCTGTCTTCTTCGTTATATCAGTTGCATCGGCCTTGTATCGCATTAATTCTGCATCAATATCTTCCGCTACCTGTGGAAACGGCACAGCGGAATTCTTTGCCCAGAAAAAGTCATTCGCATTCAAATCGTAGGCCTTTTTAGTTGTGCCCTTTGCAGGATTCTCCTCATCTATTGGTGTCTCGACGGTAATTCGATTTAACTTCATTTTGAGAACATCATGTACGAGTGACTGATATGTCCAGGAATGCGACAGCATAGGAATTAAATCAACGTTTCGGTCAAGTATGATAAGAACAGGTCGAGCAGAGGGCGCGATAGTAGATTGACGATTGGCGGGGCCAGAGAACAGATTATCTTTTGAATTTAGGACATGGTCTCTTAATTTTCGATCGAGTTTGGCAGAGATCATTTCTGCTGCTGCACCAGGAGGACATCTAATTATTGGCATAACGCCTGTAAATTGTTAGTTGGACGCCAATGCAAAATCATCAAATATCTTACCCATTGTGACCATAACACTAAAGAGTCCGCTGACAATCCTATCAACCACGTTGTCCAATTCCTCATCCTTTGTCTTTGCGCTGTTCAATGCCCAATATGTATTCTGTTTTCTCATCCCAAGACTAAAGAGGTCCGGTTCTCCCACAATAAAATTCAGGTATTGATCATAGAATTGTGCAATATTTTCTGATGTTCTAGCTTCCACAGTTTGCTTTGCGAAATCTTCCAATAATGCGCGAGGTATCGAGGAGAGAAAGTTGATGTAGGCAGGAGAATAGAGACCTTTCGAGAGATCACTGGTGATTCCCTTTAAGTTGGCTTCCGTAGGTTCCACCAAATACAATACTGGAACATCTGGAATAGGGTGTCGATTTGCTGTAATATGCCTAAGTCCATCAGTATTTTCCAAGTAACATTGAAGCTCTTGCTTCCCCGCACATCAACATACATATGCATTGTAACTCCCCAAGCTCTCAAGTCACTAACTCGTAGTACACTACTGATAACATCTCGTCCTAAATCGTCAAAGACCAAGACCTTCCATATTGGTTCTCCATCTTCATTTAGAATAGGTACTGATGGCACCGCAATTCCAGTGTGTGATGTTTGATCGTGGGCATTCGCGGATTCGGGGGACTCATGATTCAAATTTAGCATGCGCTCAATTGATCCTACAGAGAGAGATGGTTAGTATTGCAGTATGCAAAAGAGCTAGAATATTGGGGGGCGGGGGAGGGATTTATTTACATACTGATCTGACGATCCCGGAGTGAGTTGTGTGAAGTTGCCATATTTGTTATTGATTTCCAAGGCTGTGATTCAGCCAAATTGGCTAGAATATATCATGTAATACCAGTACTGAGATGCGCAATGATCAAAGTATGATTAGGTGGATGAAATTCAAGAAAGGTATGGAATGATTCGACTTTACTCAAGGACACATCTGCGACATTTGCGATAGCTTATCGGTCAAGTTGGTAGGTAGGTAGGTAGATTTCCCTAGTGAATTGCTTCCCTAGGTATGAGAGTATCAGAGTATCAACTTCCTTGGTGAATTGTATCCAATAATGTGAATCTAAACTCAGAATGTTTTAGCGTCATCAAATCCAATCCAGGTACAAGGGGGGTCTCTCTTTTGTACGGCGAAACGTTCTGCAGGCGAAACTAAAAACCGAAGAAAAAAGGACTTTCCCACGCTTTCCTCCAATTTCAATCGTTCGTTCCTTCAATCTCTTGTTCCTTTCTTTAATACAATACACAACAAAAACACCATCAAAATTGGATTTCTCTTTCGTACTTTATCGACCTTCATCAACAACAACATCACCATCACCATCACCATCACCCAATTCTTCATCAACACAACTCTTCAACTCTTCACCTCTTCACCTCTTCCCCAATTTCATCAACTGTCCCCCTTACATTTTCTCTTTGATGGTTATTACATGGACGCGCCAACTTTACTTCTAATCAGAATTCATGATCGTACAAATTAATTATTGAACAAAAACAAAACCCCCAAAAAGTGACCGGATTTGAAACAGAAACAGGCTGCTGGTTCACTCATAAGAGTGTATAACTATAGAGAAGATATTCAAGAGGGCAGATCTAAGTGCGCAAAGCAGACAAAGACCTCAGAAAAACAAAAGGGTATGGTAACACTTTGAATACACACAACACCACCAAATCTTGATACGCCATGCAATTGAAGCTGGCCAAATTATCTACAACTACACGTTTACCCCCCTCCCCCTACCCAGAATATTGTATTGCCACCCCCCAAGAATCCTCAATCTGCATAGACACAAAGCTTTCACGCTTTTGCTTTCGCATAGAGAGGTCGGAAAGGGACCGCATATCAACGTGCAAGGTCGAGATGTTATAAGTTGCCCATGTCGTATAGCACAGTGAAGAGAGAGAAGATCATTTCAATATGAAGATCTTCGTCTGTATCATTGCTGCAGAGAGGGGAGACTTATACATCTCGAACCTGGCTTCACTGGACTATATTGCACTGTGCAGGCCGCGGTTGTACTTCTTCTTACCGACAGTATTTCTTGGCTATCTGGCTTCTGGTGTTTAGAACCCCCAAGAGTGCGTGATTGTACTGCTGAGTGTACTTGACGAAAGAGGTACATTCATGGAACATCACGCATTTTGATAATAACCCAGAAGTGAGGTGTGATAATGGTCAATTACTATTATCTTTCCAGAGATTTTCTTCAACGGATGGATTATTGCATCGCATATGATCAGAGAGTTGCAAGCATCGTCATTGTCATCGTCATCTGTGGCTTTTGCATACCGCAACACACATACAATTCCCCTTGCCCACCAAAACTTGTCTTTTGTTTCCTTTTTCTTTTTGCTCACATTTTCTCTTTCCACCCACCACGCACTTTTACTTTCCGCCCAGCCATCAAGATGGGATTTCATTCTTTCATGGGGGGTTGCTTAATCAAAAATTTACTCGTCAGCTAATTCATGTTCTTTGTTGTATAGCTTACCCAATAAGACCAAACCAATTCATCCACTTTACCATAAATCGAATAGACGAATAATTTTACTCCTGGTCTTTTACCTTTCGGGACACACCGCGCCATTTTTCTAGCCACGCCCCGAGCCTAGTTCGAAAAGCTAGTTACCCGCACTTAAGCGTCTCTTACCGAGCCACTCTAATCCTACCAAGGTACCCTTTGGCCATTCACGTGACCACATCTCACTTTCACAATTCAAGATGGACGGTGATAATCATGGTTACATACCAGATGATGTTGATTTCGATGGTTTGTTGAGTAATGGGTCAGTTTGGCCAAGTGCGGCAGACCAATATGCATACCAACAGCCTCAATCTCAATCCCAGCAACAATCTCAACAACAGCCTCAGCAGCAGCATATACAATCAGATCCATATGGAAGATATTCGAATATTCAACCTTCTTATGGACAGTATGATCTTTCTCATCAATCTCATCAGCAACCTACGTATAACGCTCTGTCATATACGAACAGTCCTGCATATGCTGCTGCGCAGTATCAACACGCTAGACCATCAGACATGTTCACTCCTACCTCTTACGGTCTCGATCCTTCAATGCAAGAATCAAATTCATACCATGGAGCTCAGACTTCTTTCCCGTATCAGCAAAATGCCACCCAACACCCCACAATTTCTCCTCAAACACTTCAATACAGTTTGTTGGCTCAACAGCAAATGAACAGTGGGATTCCATCGGCTGCTTTTCAAAGATCAAATAGTGGAATAGGTAGTAAACCAAATTATAACTATGGCCAAAGGACACAAAGTAATGATAATCATTTCTTTAACCAACCTCAGAATGGTGTTGTGCCACAAAAGATGGACCAGAATTCGTCCAACAATACCGTGCGGTATCCTTCAATTCCTACAGATCTTGTTCCAAAGGAGGAGGTAAAGCAACATGTTCCGATCACAGAGCAATATTCTACCGCGGCACCTGCTGTTGCTGTTCCTCGTCAACGAGAGATTCCCGAACCTCAACCCATTGCTCCGGCCCCAAACCCACTCCGAGTCACCCATCCAGATCTTGTTGCGAACAACACTTCTTCAAGACCAAGATTTTCATATGCTCCGTTTCTCGCATGGGAGGATACGCCTATACAAGTTCCTCCTGCACTAAAGAGTCAGTACATTCAAACGCTTCTTTTCTTCGAGACATCAAATTTGCTAACATCTTTTGGGTAGATACCATTCCAAAGTATCATCCGAGAAAATCCAGAAGTGGAAAAGAATTGGTACCGGGACTGAATAAATCAAGTAGGTATCACTGGATCTCTTTGTTTACCTCTACCTCAATACTAATATCTCGGTCAGAAATTTCAACAACACCAGCAAAAAGTTCACAGAAAATTCGCGCGCCAAAACAGAAGAAAACACATGTTAGCACTTATAAAGGCACTGGGAGATCTGCTTTTGATAAAGATTCTAACGTACGTTCTGATGGTACAAACACGCCAACTAAGTCTTCAACACCCACGGAATCAAGCACTTCAGAAGAAGAAACAAGTTCGGAAGAAGAGTCTGATTATGAAGATGAAGAGGAAGAAGATGTGCCACCTCCAATAGATATTAGTACTGTAAGTGCAAATTCCCCCTCCCCAATAATTTCTGAATGTGATCGATCTTTATCATGTGTATGACATGCATCTGCTGTTACTATTCCACAATAAGATATTCGACGTGTTCTGTGTGAAATATTTCGATACTTAAGTGGACAATCATATTAGCCTGCTCGCATACATGCCTTGACGTTGTTGATATGCCAACCCATGGCTTATAGCCAATTATTACAAAAATGAATACTAATGATTAATCAATACAGGTACGTGAACTCACGCGCCCCAGTGATATTCCTAGTGCTGCCCGATGGGATGCCACAGGAATTGTCTGGAAGGATCCCAATTCTAGTCCAAGTGCCGCTGCTATTACAAGTGCTATGAACGATTATGCCAATACTTTCATCGCTCTTCGAACCCAAATCAAGGATGTCACGGCAAAATTACAAGAAGCAACAACATCTAAAGCTCCCGAGGTACAATTACAAAAACTCAAGTCACATCGTTCCGAATTATCAGAAGCTCTGTATCAAACAATTGAGGCAGCGAACAAGCTCGGCTATGGTTCAATTGTCGAAAATCTTGGTGGTCACCAGAAATTAGTTAGTGGTTTGACAGCCACACTCATCGAATGTACAAAAACAGAAGATTACATTGGTAAACTTCCACGAGCTGTTTTTGCTTTGCTTGCCAAATTTCAAACACTCACAGAAGATTTGCTTACGAAGAGTAAATTTGATGCTCTTGCAAAGCGTTGGAATAAGAAAGGAGATCAAGAGATTAAAAATTACATTAAAGTTATAATGGATAACACAGTTGATGCAAAGGGAAGAGCTTCTAAAATAGATCAGACATTGCCTAGCGCTGAAGATACCAAGAAGAAGCTTGAAAAGATAGAACAAATTAAATCTCGAGCTACAGATACCTTGAAGCCCACAGCAACTAATCCAAACTCATCAAAAAGACCTCATGAAGGGGATACCAGTAACGGCAAACCAAATAAGAAGTTTGCTACTGATGTTTCTGGCACTCCTACCTCGACAACAAAATTGCCTCCAATACCTAAGAGATCCAATGTCAACCTTCTTGGTATTTCTTCCTCCAAGTCAACTTCTAAGCCTGCTCCAAAGGTTGCGCCACCTAAGAAGAAGGAACCATCACCACCTCCACCGCCGCCAATGTCATCCAGGTTAGGTGATATCTTGGCCAGCATCGAGAAACCACCTGAGGCACCAAGGAAGGCTTCGCCAGCGGCTGGACCCCCAGAAACCCCTGAAGAAAAGAAGCGTCGTGAGCGAAAAGAAAGCAGACGACATCTTAGAGTCAAATTCAAGCCAGATGATGAACTTGAACAAATTCGTTTATTCAAACATGAGGTTGCAGAAGATGAGGGACGTCAAGATGGTATGTTGAGAGATGCACGTAATAATCATTCTGAGGGTATGATGCATAAGCAACGTGTTCAGGCTACGGACGAGGACGACGATGAAGTCATGTCTGGTATGAGTGAGGATCGACCTTATCCTACTTTGATTGAAGTCGATCTTTCCAATCTGGATAAGCATACTACATATGGTCCAAGTTATATTACCAGAGGTGGAAGTGTTAAGTTTGTTACTCCGGAACAGCAGGAACAAGAGCGACGAGAGGCCAATGAGTTACTTGTAATCTATAATGATCCTTCAGAAATTCCACC